ATTAAAGTGTCAATCCAGCAGACAGACAATTATCATAAATGCATGTGAATCTACTAACAAAGCTTCAAAATACATAAAGGAAATGTTTACAGAAATAATTGGAGAAGTACACAATTCCACAATATAATAGGAGATTTTGATCCCTCTCTCTCAGCATCTGATAGAACTATTAGGCCGAAAAATAAATAAAGACATAGATCAATGGTTCTCTAAGTGTGGACCCGGGATGCCTGGAGGGTTCCCAAGACCCTTATAGGAGTTCCACAAAGCCGAAACTGTTTGCAAAAGTCATAAGATTTTGCCTTTTTCTCTTTTAGTCTCTTATAATTATACAGTGGCATTTTTCAAGAGGCTGCAAGATATGTGATATTATAACAGACTGAAAGCCATATCCAGCTATCTCCTTAACATTAGAGAGATGTGTAAAAATGTATAGCAATGCCACTCTACTCACTAAATTTTGTTCTGGAAAATATAGATGTTGTTTGTTTTTTGATTTTACTTTTTTTGATACAATTTTATTATGTTAACATAATAAATATATATACTGAATATATTTAAATATTCATAGTGTTTATATAGTATATAAATACGTTACATAAATATAGCTATATTATATGCAATGTGCATAATACGTAATATATAAATATTTATAACATATGTTTAAATATTTATTTTAAAGTAAGTATTGTTATATTTGTTAACATTATGGAATTTATTTTATTTTATTTTTTTAATATATTTTATTGATTTTTTACAGAGAAGAAGGGAGAGAGATAGAGAGTTAGAAACATCAACGAGAGAGAAACACTGATCAGCTGCCTCCTGCACATCTCCCACTGGGGATGTGCCCGCAACCCAGGTACATGCCCCTGACCGGAATCGAACCCGGGACCCTTCAGTCCACAGGCCGATGCTCTATCCACTGAGCCAAACCGGTTTTGGCTGGAATTTATTATTTGCTGCTTTTTAATGAAACACAGTAGAAAATACATCCTTTTCTAGTCCACCAGATACACTCACTAAGACTGAGCACATGCTAGGCCATAAAACAAGTCTCCATACAATTAAAAGAACTGAGATCATACAGGGTATGTTCTCTGACAACAATGAAATTCAATAATGAAATGAAAATGAAATCAATAATGATATGACATCTAGAAAAAATATTTGGACATTAAACAATATACTTCTAAATGCATGTGCAAAAGAATTAGAAGAGAAATGAGAAAATACTTCAAAGGGAATGATAGTGAATATACAGCCTATTCAAAATCAGGAGAGGCAGCTAAAATCCCTGCTTAGCAGGAGGTCTATGACTCTGAATACATATACTAGAAAAGAAGAAAGGTCTAAAATCAATTATCTAATGGTCTACCTCAGGGGTCCTCACACTTTTTAAACAGGGGGCCAGTTCACTGTCCCTCAGACCGTTGGAGGGCCGGACTATAGTTTAAAAAAAAACTATGAACAAATCCCTATGCACACTGCACATATCTTATTTTGAAGTGAAAAACCAAAACGGGAACAAATACAATATTTGTATTTGCATGTGGCCCGCGGGCCATAGTTTGAGGACCCCTGGTCTACCTGAAGAAGCCAGAAAAGGAATAGCAAAGGAAAAGATAGCTTGACACTTCCTTTTCTCACTAGGACGGGGTGGCACAGCTCTGGGAGACAGGAGAATTGTCCACTGTCACCTCCTCCTTCCAGTCCCATCTCCTCTAAGGAAGACTAAAGAAGGGGCGCTCCTGGAGTCCCACCTCTCCCCAGCCTGGTCCAATCTGGGAACTCTCAACCTAAATGCTCCCTCTGACTGGGGAACACTTTGCCCATATTCAGTCATTTATTCACTCATTGAGATATTCACGGAATACCTACAGTTAGGGAGACAATATTGGCTAATAAAGTACAGTGATTTAATGGCACCTACTGCAATTTTCTAAGCAACTCAGGCCAAGTTACTTGTTCTCTTCGAACCTCAGTTTTACCATCTGCAAAATGGAGATAAAGCAACTACCTGCATCCTAGAGCTGTTTGTGGTAAAGGTTGAATTGAGTCATGCATGCAAAAGGCTTAGCCCAGAGCCTGGCCCACAGCAAGGGCTAGATCACCCAGAGCCATTACTCCTCCCAGACTTTGGGGAAGGTTCCCAGGAAATAGACACGACCTAGTCCCATCCCTGCCGGAGTTCACAAAGTGGTCCTCACTGCCATCCTCACGACATACACTGCCCACGCTGCAGCAGCCTCACCCTGGATCCTCAGGCTCTCCTGGTACTGGATGATGAAGTACTCTTGAGTCTGCTGCAGCTTCTTCAGTTCGTTCTCCGTGTCCTGCGTGACCAGTCTTAGCTCTTCAAATGTCTGATTGATCTGAAGGTGTTTCTGGGACATGGCGTCAACCAGCATCCCAACAGGAGAGGCGCCCTGGGGACATATCAGAAATGCAGGCCGCAGTGAGCTGGGCAGTGATGATGGGAGAAACCTCGGGCTTTGGGGGATGCCAACACTACAGACCCCAAACTCTGAATCTAGAGTAAAAAGGGAGGGCAAGCTGAGCCAGAAGGATAGTCATTTGTCAGCAGTGGGGTGGAGGGGACAAAAAAGGGGGAGAACCGTGTGAGCTGGCAGACTATGGAATCTTCATGAAGCATAGCAGAAACCCCTATTGCAGTTCTGGCCTCCGCCAGAGGATCCCCAACATGGTCCATCTAAATTCTCTTTGAAGAGACTAGAACTCAACACATCCCAAGAGTTACCTGAGTTTGTGGCCCATGTGCAGAAGTCGGTATTTTGTGGAAGAGCCACACTCAAGGGGTCAAAGAGCTGCAAGTGGCTCGCGAGCCGCAGTTTGCCGACCACTGGGCTAGGTGAACACACATTGTCTTTGTCCTCACTCAAGACCTACTTGTGACCGAGGGGAGAGGGAATCAGGTAAACCTCCCACAGGTGGTGTCCTAAGAACCCCACGGTGAAGGTACAGGGGAAGCATCAACAAGGGCTTTGTGGATTCAGACATTTAAGTGACCTGGTCTGATGCAGGGCCTTTCCAATGAACTGTTCTCAGAAAATTCCAAACACCTTCCCACAGCCTCCAGTGCCCTGGCTGATAGTCCCTGCCAGCCTCTGCGCCCACAACAGCTACTTTCTGTTCCTTAAACACCCAGCACGTTGCTGCCTCAGGGCCTTTGCACTTTTTGTCCCATCACTCTGGAACAAATCTTCCTGAGGCTGGCACTTCAACTGGTACTTTTTCAGAGTGACCGTCTCTGAAGGGCCAATTCAAAACAGCACCACCCTTATCTGAGAGCGTCTAGTTCTTGGGTTTTACCTCTTACTTTTATTTTCTTTAAAAAAAATTTTTTTTATTGATTTCAGAGAGGAAGTGAGAGAGAGAGATGAAAACATCAACAATGAGAGCGAATCACTTATTGGCTGCCTCCTGCACACCCCCTACTGGGGATCAAGCCCACAACCCTGGGCATGTGCCCTGAAGGGCAATCAAACCGTGACCTCCTGGTTCATAGGTTGACACTCAACATCGCTCTTATCTGCCTCCTTGCACTAGGATGTGAGCCTTCTAAGTGCTAAGACCTCATCTGTCTTGTGCATCACCAAATCCCTTAGGCCTAGGACTGTGGTCGGCAAACCGCGGCTTGCGAGCCACATGCAGTTCTTTGGCCACTTCAGTGAGGCTCTTCCACAAAATACCGGCTCTTCCACAAAATACCACGTGCAGGCACACACCTACAGTGCGACTGAAACTTCGTGGCCCATGTGCAGAAGTCGGTATTTTGTGGAAGAGCCACACTGAAGGGGCCAAAGAGCCAGCCACATGTGGCTCACGAGCCGCAGTTTGCCGAGCTGCAGTTTGCCAACCACTGGCCTAGGGCATCAAAGGTGTCCAAGAACACCTTCATGGCTAGGAGAAGGCACGATTCCCATCCCCAGAGCCCCCTTCCCCCAACCATGACAACACCTGCATCACAGACATGTAGTTCTTAATTGGAGCCTAATTCATTGGTGCGTTTGCAGATAGCCCTGCGATGCAACAAGCCAAGGGACACAGCCTTGTCCTGGAAGACCCTCTGGCTTCTGCTTCCTCTCTGGCCCTACCCATCAGGACTCCTCACTTGGCTCCCTTCTCCCCAGTTGCACTGACTATTTGCAAGTCTTCAGATATGATAAGATGGCTCCTGCCTTCCTGCCCTCACAAATACTGTTGCTACTTTTGACTAAAAACTCCTCCCACCTCCTCCCTCCTGCTTTCTCCACTGTAGTTCAGACCTCTCCTCCCTCAGGACATGCCCCCTGCCCGCCTGCCCCGATTTGAGCTGGGTACTTTTCCCACATATGCTCCCTGAACCCTCAGTTCACTGCTGGAGAACCGATCATCACCCGAATTCCTCCCAGGTGACAACCAGGTCTTTATCTGTTTCTCCAGGCCTAGCCCAGGGCCGGACACACTGCAGGACCTCAATACACATTTACTGAATGAACTGCCAAATTCCTGAAATCAGCGTTCACAACAACAAATAGATAATCAACAAGACCTGTGCTCCCGGCACTATTCGGTGGTCTTTACCTGTGTGATGTCATTTTATGAAATTCATTTTGCTTTATTGCAGATAGTATAACATTTGTACCATTGTCCAAGCAGATGTTCCATGCCTGTATGATTCCAGAACTTGGGGAATGAGTCCCTGTTCTGCCTCTCTGGGCCTCACTTCTCTGAGCTTGACTGTGTTCATTTTTCTGACACAGACCTTGGCTCCATTTCTCCTCACAGACCGTCCCAGAGAATATTTCTTATTTGGCCCTAGGCCATTTATTGAATGACAAATCTTTTCCCTGGTGATTTGTAATGCCATTTCTGACACAGACTGAGTTTCCAGCTGTGTGTGTGTGTGTGTGTGTGTGTGTGTGTGTGTGTGTGTGTGTGTATTTAGGTCTTCATCTTCTGTTTCATTGGTCTGTTTGTCTGTCCCTGGCCCACACAGTATCTCATTTAATGCTCACAATAATCCTGCAAAGTAGGTACTATCACCATCCCTACTTATAATTGAAGAAACATAGGCTCAGAGAAGTTAAGTAACTTGCTCAAGTTACACAGCAAGAAAGTGGTGGAGCCAGGGACTGAAGCCAGGGGGGTCACTCCACACCTGCAAGTAATCTTGCCCCTCACACTTGCTCATGTCTCCTCTCATTTCTTTGGTGTCCTCTCATGCCAGTATTTGTAAGTCACAGTTGTGTCTGGAGAGAACAGTCTTCCCAACTCCTCTCCCCACACCCAGGGGACACTCACGTTGTTGGCTTCTCGGACCAGCCTCTGCTCATTGTACAGAATGTGCCGGATGCAGCGGACCAGCTCCATGGGGCAGCGGTCATACGTGTTCTGAAAGAATCCAAGAGCAGCGACCAGTGGCCATCCTCTGTGTCTACCATGCCTGTCACAGTGCCATGCCCACACCTTCCTCCCCTCCAGTCCTTGCCTCAGCTTCCCCTCCCCCCCCGAGAAGTCTCCGGAATTGTCACCAGTCACCTCTGTCTCTCCTTGACTTGATTTCCCCTCCCAGATTTCATTTGGTTTGCAGTGCATTAGGAACCCAGTTCAGAAAGCACTTCCAACCGACCATCCCCTATGACTTTCTTATCAGTGAAACCCCATGACATAGCAGAAATGATTATCCCCATTTCAAAGATGAGAAAACTGATGCTTAGAGAGGTTACGTACTTATACAGAGCGAAGCAAATGGGTGAGCAGATGACTCAAAACTCAGAGCGCCTAATGTCATGGTCAAGAAACTTTCCGCCACAGTCCAGGTCGGGGTTCCTATTCTGCTTCCCCCTGTGCCCCAGGTTTCCCCGGCTTCCTCCCTCTTCTGGGGTGGACTTTTTATTTCCCTGGTGCCCTGCTGCTTCTATTTAAAAGTGGTTCTCTAAGAAATACTAGTGATTTCCAATAAATGCTTGACTATGATTACTACCCACACACCCCTTTCCTGCTCCCACTAAAACTTCCTCTCTCCCCTATACTCCACCCCTCCCCCCGAGTGAAGGAGAAGCTACATCTTACATCTAAAGCCTCATTCAAGGCTCTTTTATCTGACAACTCTGCTCCTCTCCTGCCCCACTTCAAGAGCTCTCCCACCTTTAAGACGAGCCCCAAGAGCAGCGGTTCTCAACCTGTGGGTCGCGACCCCTTTGGGGGTCGAACGATCCTTTCACAGGGGTCGCCTAAGACCATCCTGCATATCAGATATTTACATGACGATTCATCACAGTAGCAACTTGACAGTTATGAAGTAGCAACGAAGATTATTTTCTGGTTGGGTCACAACATGAGGAAGGGTATTTAAAGGGCCAGCAGGTTGAGAACCACTGCCCAAGAGGGATGTCTGGTTGCCTCACGCCCTCATTTCTAGAATCTGTCACTCCTCCGTTCTCCTCTAAAGGAATCTTGACTCAGTCCACCTCCATCCCTTCCGCTTGATCTGTCCAGAAGGTGGTTTCACCCATCCTCCTTCTCTTGGGGACCAGCACACCCCACCTCTGGCTTTGTAATATGCTAAAGGGATCCAACAGGTCTGATTTAGAAAGAGGGGGTGGGGGAAATTGAAGCGCAGAAAAGTTGCCGATAAGGTGAAGGTCACACGGTGAGTCAGTGAGTGTCCAGGCCAGGAAAAACCCAGGGGTTCTGACGCTGGGACTAGAAGGCGGCCACGGCCTCCCCGCAGATGACCCGGCGCTCACACCCACCTGGAGCTGGGTGGCGTAGTGCCCCAGCTTGATCTTCAGCAAGAACCCATCTTCCCCCACTTGGTGCTCGGCCTTCTTCTGCAGCTCCTGCACCAGGCCCTCCAGCAGCTGGGTGGCCTGGGCTTGGTCCTGGGGATTTTCTGGATCGATGGCGTCCCTTGGGGCAGGGCAGGGTAGAGAAGCCTTCTGTGGTGCCTCCTTGGCACGGAAGCCAGGCACCCAGCAGGACGTGGGAACCCCAGGCTTCTGACTATGAGTGCTCCAGCGCCCACAAGCCTGGTTCCTGGCAGCGCCACGGGCAGCAGAGTCTAGAAACAGCCCCTCTCCCTTCCCCGGCACCCCTTTCCCTGTGCCCCTTTCCCCGCCAACATGGAACAGGGCCCCTTCCTCGCAGAAAGGAACCCACAGGACCAGAATCACACCCACCCACACGGAGGAGCCCTGAGGCCGAGGGGCCGGGCGGGCAGGGTCCCGGGGAAGCCAGCCCAGCCTGGGCACCTACCAGGGCTGGCTCTCGATCCACTGAGCCAAGTAGTGGCGGACCTCGATGGGAAAGTGCTGCCCGTACAGCACCTGCATCTGGCGCAGCGCATCCCCCTGCAGCTGCTGGGCCTGGATCCAGCCCGCCATGGCCTTCACCTGGGGCGAGCAGAGGGCTGAGAACCCGCCGGCCGGGCAGAGGCGAGGGCTGGGCCTGCCCCTGGCCCTGCCATGCCCACCCGTGCCCGGACCGCGGCCCGTCGGGCCAGGCCCCTCCCTCCCACAGACCGGCTTTCCTGTGCGGGAAGAAAGATGGTGAGGAGGGGAAGGCCGCCCTGCCCTCTAACGAGGAACCCGCGGAGGCTTGGGGAGGGGCCCGCGAAAGTCAGGTGCCCTCCTCCTCTTCCCCTCCCCTCGCCCCACCGGGGCTTCCCCAGCGGGGGGACAGCTAAAAACTGAAAGAGAAACTTGACCGCGGTGGCCCACGGACCTCGGCAAGAATCCCCCTACCCGGCCTCGAACCCTGGGTACCAATTTCTGGGAAGGGGCGTGGGGGGCTATGCCAGCCCAAAGCGACGCTCCCGAAGGCGTCCCCTGGACGGTGGGATCCCCGCGGGCACGTGGCTAGGGCTGTTACAGAGGCCGGGGGGGACAGACGCGCCCCGTCCCTCCTCGGTGGC